ATCCAACAACCAACGCCACCAAGGCTGAGAGTCAACTATTTCTGCTGCTACCACAGAGGTTACAGTTCACTGATAGGAACCAGATTTCGCAAAGCCAACCACGACAGCCAAAGCAGCCCACAATGCTCCCAACAACCTACACCACTGTTGCAAGCCACCCAATCCAGGTTCAACCATGGCAAAATCCCACGATTAACTAGGGTGTCCCTCATCCAACATTACCCATTACATTCATCGACGATGTTAAACTGGCAGCCGCCTCGATATAAGACGACAAACAGTCCAACCTTACCAACGTCTGTCATGCACCCCACCACCATTTCTCCATCAGTGGAGTTTATCCCCAACTCATACTGGATCTTTTAGCAAAAAGGACAAACGAGAACCTTCCAAGGAAAGTACAACAATTCCTTCAGCTTTCTTTATGTCAACATCCAGGATGTTAAGTTTAAAAAAAAGAATTATTAAAAATTAACCAACGAAATTAACGCCTCAGTTGTAACTATCAGTGAAACCCTCTTCAACAATAATAGTAACTTCACCCTCCAACATTAAAAAATGTTCTTCAAATCTAAAAATGCCAACAATAGAGGTATTGCCGTATTATATAAAAACAATCTAGACATTTCTGTAATAGATCAAAATGTTCCAACACATCACAAATATATACTATGTCAAATTAAAATTCCGTCTCTTCCAAAAATTACTTTACTTGCAATGTACATGTTCCCCCAATACACTACTCACATAAATTTCCTAAAAACCTTAGCACAAACACACTCAAATGTAATAATTCCAGGCGACCTAAATACGTCACATCCAGCATTTCACGGTAATACCACAAGCACTGCCAGAAGAAAAATCGTGAAATTCACTCAAACTTACAAAATGACAATTACAAACAGAAATTTTCAAACACACTCTCATTGCAGTGGCTCACAAAGCATAACTGACCTAGCCATCATCCCACAGTCTTTAAAATGCCTCACAAACAACTTCAAGGTACACGGGAATATCGGTGGCAATCATTACCCTATATATTTCCAAATAAAATCCATCCACAGGTCCTACCTTCCTAACAAAATCAACATCCCAAATTTCAGCAAAATAATCCAGATAAAATTTAACAACTGTCTTGAACAGAAACTTCCAGAACCTAAAATTACAGTAAACTCCAAAGAAGAATTAGAACAATACTATAACGATATTACTTCCGCAATAACTAAAACTATTAATGAAATCGTGCCATATAAAACTCGGAAATCTACACCGAACTCGTCGACTCTAATCCCTGAAAGACACAACTTAGTAATAACTAGACGCCGACTCTGTAGAGAAATTACAGCAACCAGAAATCCTGCTCTGAAACCGTTAATTAATCAAGCCAAAAACGAGACCGAAAAACTAATCAAAATACAGCAAAAGAACAACTGAAATAACTTCTACAATAGACTAAACACACTGAAACCCGATTCCTTCTAGAAAACATTGAAAAACACATGCCATGACATTAATGACTTTGATAACATTAATTACGCAAACACGACAACCACAACAGACTTGGAAAACTAACCTATTCTCATGCTACTTCTCTACCACGTTTTAGCACCCCACTCCACAAAAATGAACAATAGTAATTACACAAAAATCAATAACTTTATCAAGGATAATGAAGATTTCATTTCAGCCACCTTCGCGACAAATATATCTACCGATAATATACCTATCCACAACAAGCATTTCCACACCTTTAACTACTTCCGAGATCAAAACCCACATCTGTAAATTAAAAAATAATACACCTGGAGAAGATAAAATCTCCATTATTATACTTAAGCACGCTTCAACCATGCTATTGGAACATCTAAAAAACCTGTTTAACCTTCCACTTTTCTCACAAATCAGACATAATAAATGTAATTCCAAAAAAAATCCAAATCTCTAAAAAACCGGGTGACTTTCGCCCAATGAGCTTGATAAATTACGAACAAGAACAGCACACCTTAAGAAAATTAGCCACAATGTACACAGCTACAAGACAACCACTAATATATACATATATAAATCATTCATCAGACCCATTATGGAATATGCCTGGGTGTTAACATGTAACATGAAAAAAACAGCTCATAACAAAACTACAAAACAGAGCTACATGATTGGCATACCACGTCCCTATATAAACTTCCATCTGTTATGTTTACCATCTATCGAAACTAGATTAACTAAATAACTAATTAACCAAATACTACAAGAAAACCACTAGCCACAACTCACTCACGTTTCTCTACCCTATTATTGTCGCCACCAACCGATCATGTAAAAAATACCTATCCCCATATATTTTTATCCACCAAGATAATATTACACTTTAACTATTACGTTCAACTGTTCATAAGTTTAGTTTCTGTTTTCTAAGTAATCTCTTTCCCAGATCCTATACCAAGCACTTCACTCTGCCTTCACCTGAGCACTGGTCGGGCTTAAATTAGGTCCCATCCAGTGAAAGTAAGTTTTCTTGGGTACTTCATGTGTTTTTCCCCACACCTAATCTCAAGGCATTGATTCTGTAGTTCCCAGCCATGGCATTTGGATTTATAGATCCCTGCCAGGTCCCTTTGTTACAGATTTGTCAATGACTTCTCTTCTCGATTCTTCTGGTCGCCATGTCTTTGTCTTCTCGGCTTTCTCTCTCACCCAAGTCAACAATCATGTAGCCTAACACATATAAAAACAATAATATCTTTAAACAACTGCTACATTAAATACCGCCACACCTCGTGCAGAGCAAAGGAGGATTAGATAATCTTCGAACAGATTTTTGTTTGTTTGTTTGTTTTTGCTTAGATACAAACTGAGAAAGATTCCGAAATGAATCAGATACTGGGTGGGTGTCAAGATTGATTTGAAGAGCTTGACTAGTCGACTTATATGAGACAACTTCCAAAGGATGTTTCATTAGATGGGGAAAGGAGGAGCCAATCGTCTATAGAGTAGTGGAACTGTATGCTTAAGGAATACACCTTCCGTGCAAAAGCCTTTTGGACCCTATTGAAAACATACAACCCAAGGGGGAGGACTTTGAACTAAATACTCACTCATTTTGGATGAACCATAAGTTATAAATGGGTGGCCAGACAAGTCTGGATATGGTACAGAGTATTTGAAATATCAATATTGGTTATACATATCTCGGGAGAGAGGACTTACCTCAGAATGAGAAAAACCGTTCATCTTGAACCGAGGGACAACAAAAGTTGGTTCACTGTTACAGATCTATAACAGGTAGCAATTTCCTGTCCTCTTGAAAATGAAAAAAAAGAAAAGAAACAGGAGAAATGGTGTCAAGGACATGTTCCATGACATTAATAATCTGAAGAGAGGGGGATGGTCTGGCAAAGATCCTGTGTAACCTAATGGTTTTTGGCAAAGGAGTCCACAGATGGAAGAGCTGAAATCTCACTAGACAAGAGCCAAGAGGCAGTTTCAGAAACAAACTGTGTTTGAGACCCATTACGGCCAGCCTTCTGAGAGAGAGGATATCAGATAACAGCAAGAGAACGAGAAGCAGGAGAGAGGGCGACCCAATGAATGTGATAAACCTGATTAAGCTCCCTGGTCCGAGAAGTGCGAGAAACCAGAATGTGCAGAGATGATTGCTAACAAACAGCTCTGCTTGAGATTCTAAACTATAAGTAATACCCCTTCCAAAATCTCATCATGAAGTAAGGGTGAAACACAGAGCCCCCTGAAATAAGATTAAGGGAGATGAATTTTAGAAAGTAAGGTATCCTAATTAAGTAAACCCAGAAAAAGAGATACCAACTTAACTGGGACACAGTAGAAGAAGAAAGATAGGGCCAAGATGGAAAACAGTTGGTCAAATTCGTTTAAATATGTGGCAGACTCAGCTGAAGCAATAGAAAAAGGTGGTCCAGATGCCTGGATTCAAGATCAGAATGGAAAAAAACCACTTAATGCACAAGGGCAGTAGCCTCGTTGATTGTCAAAGTGTCTCCAGTTCCCATTGTAGTAGTAGATAACTCCTATTGAGGAGGGTAAGAAGCACAAATACATGAATTCGCTTAAAGTTGGCCAGTTATGTTCTTGGTACTAGGCCTTGGACATTGTCGTAATGACGAAACTGGAGAGTAGCTAATGAAACCCATTCATTTGGTGAATAATAATTGGAAATGGTACTGTACAAGAAACCATATCACGAAGTCTGGAAACAATGTCCCAAAATTTCGTAATTTGATTAAAAAGACTGTCAAGCACCTTAATTTAAAATCTGAATTGTTTTTATACTATTCATTACCAGTGTAGTTCACATATTGTACCATATTCAGTGGTTTTACGTTTTTTGCCTGTTACAACATTTAATATAACGAATTGACCAAAATAACTGGTTGAAATCAATCATTATCTATGTAAAGTAACACATAAGGGACTTCAGGATTAATTATAACATTGATAGTGCTTTTGTTTACATTTTATATTTTGTAACTCGTATGTTATTGGGAAACCTATAACTAACAAAGGCATGAACCCCCAAGCAAGTTAATGCATAAGCAGTTGAGAAAAATGTTTTTAAAAAGTAGATAATGGACGCCCATCAATAATTTTAATATTAATGTCTTAAATGTACCTATCAAAGACAGGTGGGAGAGAGGGATTATTTACAAAAAAATGGTACCATATAATGAAAATCTTTTGTGAATGTTATTTTTGCTACAACGATTTTGTATACCATTGTTATTTAGTACCGAACGCAATAACTTGTAAAAAAGAATATTAACAATAAATCACAACATTAACACTATTGTTACAAATTTGTACACACTGATTTAAATTATATTCGCTTACAATTTCTTTGTTAATGTTAATTACAACAATATAAAACTAAAAACGTAAAGGTTATTTTATTTGTTATAGACTATTCTTCCTCCAAAATTTGTTAATCGGGAGAAAAATTTCAAAGATAAGTTAATACTACTAACCTTTCTGGAAGCGCTGGGATTGATGAAGGAATAAGAACTTCTTCTATGGTCTGAAAGTATTTATTTAAAAATAAAGAAGCTACTGCAATAACAATACTCGAACATAAATTACATGTATCTGCGTTGAACAATATTAAACACAATACATGCTATATATAATCCAGTGGTTCCCAACCTATGACCCGTGACAACTTTATTAATAAAGACAAATTTGGCGATTAAACTGGTCAAAAACAGAAATCGCACTCACCTTACGGACACGAATTTAAGTGGTCTGATAATAATAAAAAACATTATCAAATACTGCTAATGGTTATCAGCCTTTTCCCCTTGAGGGCCACGACTGTTATTTCTACAACCTTAAAGGGCCACCAATCTATCTATAAAAAATAAAAGTTATCCAAGTATACATCAGTAAGGAATACAAATCACTACCTATTTAAAGTAAACGTGCAAATTAAGAAATTAAAAATAAACTGTTAACAACAGTTACAACGTACGTTTAGTTCAGGCCCGGAATAGCCAGGTACTTAGGACGCTCGACTCGCAATCTTAGGGTCGCGGGTTCGAATCCCCCTCCCACCAAACATGCTTACCATTTCAGCCGTGGGGGCGTTATAATGTGATGGTCAATCCCACTATTCGTTGGCAAAAGAGTTGGTGGTGGGTGGTTATGACTAGCTGTCTTCCCTCTAGTCTTACACTGCTAAATTAGGGACGGTTAACGCAAATAGCCGTCATGTAGCTTTGGGCGAAATTGAAAAACAAACAAACGTCTTGTTCATGAAACTCTAATTCAATGCAACTTCTGCGGTTGAAGACCAGAATCTAACTTATCGACGTCTGGTTGCATGTTAAGGGTCGCCATTGTTGATGTACACGAAGTTATAAGAGTATACATATGCTTAACTATTTAAACAATCTAACATCACATGTAACAGTTAATTTGTTTTTGGTTTTAAAGAGTGTTTAACTTGACTCTTTTACTGTAATTAAAAACAACACAATCAAAACGTTTAATGGATCATGTAATATTTGTTATACCAGTTTCAGAAAAACACTTTAAAACATGGCAATAACTCATTGTAATATTTGCGAGGATTTAGCAACAATATAAATAAAAGAAGGACGCGGATTTAGAGCCAAGTTATCTGGGTAACTGCCTAAGGCCTCGCGCTTACTTATTATATAATTGTATATTTATAAATAATTTATAGATATTTTTTCATAAATAATTTATAAAGAATAAATGTCATATATAGAGTTGTCAGTTGTTCTATTTACAATCTGGCAGTTTTTTATTCAAATTATATTTGGAAAATGCTTTTGAAAATGAAAATTAGCAACGCTGCATATGTGTCTTCAGCTAACTGGGCAATTGCCTCAGTTGACAGTTTCTATGAGGCACCAATGGGTGACGTCATCACCATTGTTCTAAACTGTGCCTAAAATAACTAGTTCAGTGTTATTTGAATAACAAGCAAAATTACCCGTTCCCAGTGACGGGAAATTAATCTATCAATTTAAGTTTTTCGTGGACTTTAAAAAGGTTAATTGTGTTGCACACTTGGTTTTACTAAGAGCCAAAGTTCTGAGCTACTTATACCGCCCACCGCAAAAAAGTAAATGTTAAACATTTAATTCATGATAAGATCCTCTCAACAATAACATCCGGTAAATCTACATTTTTATTCTTTAAGTTACGTCACATTTTGAAATGTGAATGATACTGTGATTAATTCCTATCAATTCTGTGTAGAATATCCTGCTTGTGAAATAAAATTTGTCATCAACATTATTCATGCCTGTTTATCCAAGATACTGGATAAAGTGAAGGAAGCCAAATACTACTCGTTTATTTTGGACTGTACACGAGATTGAAGTCATATTGAATAAATGACAGTGATATTAAGCTAAGTTGAACGTAATGCTGGGAAGGTTGAAGGGCATTTTATCGGATCCTGCCAGAACACCAAACAATTGGAAGTAGTATAGCTAGAATTATTTTGGTAGAAATAGAAAACCTAGGCTTTGAAATCCTTGATTGTCGTGATCAAGGTTATGGCAATGGTGCAAATATGTGTGGCGAAAGGTGTAAAAGCAAGACTAAATCCACGAGCCTTCTTCCAATCATGTGGTTGTCATAATTGGAATTTGACCTCAGAAGATGCTACTTCATCCTATACAAGGGTCCAAGTATTTTTTGGTTTAGTTCAGAGGCTTCTTTTTAACACATTGCATGCATTAAAAGAAAAGGTTAATATTACCCTAAAACCGCTATCGGAAACTAGATGGGAGTGCCACATAGAAAGTTTGAAACCTATTCGGTTTCAGCTCAAAGACGTCTGTGACGCTTTACAAGAATTATCTGTATATTGTGAGGGTGATTCAAAACTTCCCTGTGAATATCTCATTAATGAGATTGTGTTCTATGATTTCTTAGTATCTTTAAGTATACGGTATGACATCGTAGTAAAAATTAATGCTATCAGTAAATTATTGCAAATTGATAATATGCATTTGGACAGCAAAGTCATACACTTAAAAGAATATCTGAAATGGCTTGATGGTCAACAGACTTTGAGTCAAAACTTTCCATCTGGCAGAAAGTTTGGAGATTCAAAGAGAATTCATAAAACCGCAACGTCGAATTGAGAAAAAAGTGTTTAATTACGAAAGTAATTATTCAGGATTAATTAGTATTATGATTGATACGATTCATGCAAGAACTGAAATTCGTTTTGAGGCTCTTAAAAATTTACTGGTAATTTTAGATTTTTGTATATAAGAACTTCAACCTATATATATATATATATATATATTGCAGAAAAATAACTTTTGCAGCATAGCAAAGCCCTTCAAATTATACCCAACTTTGATGGTTCATTTGACATTAATGAAGTAGAGATGTACAATCCTTCCTCCAGCACCAATATGGAATGCACCTTGAAACTTGTTATTTATAATTGCTTATGTGAGATTTAATCTAACGTATATGTAGCACTTCGCATAGTCCTCACTATAACAGTTACGGATGCTTCGATAGAAAGAAAATTTTCTCGACTCGAGCTCATTAAGACGTACCCCCCGTTCTACCATGTCTCAAGAAAGACTGATATCGTTGGGCAGTATTATCAACAGAAAATGATGTAACAAACTCCACAGAAGAGTACAAAATCAATGCTGTGAAACGGGTCCTGCGTGAAGTGATGAATTACACAGTTACTTGTCATAGAACCCCTAAAGAAGTAATGTGTAAAGTTCAGTGAACCGGTTGCCAAGGTTCCATTTGAAAACTTTGAGCTGCAGTCAACATTGGTCTCACAAGTACACCTACTACAACGCGCCCGTTTTTCATGAATGTAAACGTTTGCATTTGATATGTAGTGAATGTATTTTGAATTCATTATACATAATAAAGTTTGTGTTTTAAAAAGGTGTATTTATTTAAAATATATGCATGTATGTAAACACACTTTTAGGAATTTGACAGCCAGTTTTCTTTCTTAAAATTGTGATCATATACGTTCAGTAATCGCGAAACGTGGGCCTCGTAAATGACAATCGCCTAGGGGACTTGCACACCCTAAATACACGCCTGGGTGTACTTTGTACACAAACACATTAAATCAAGATTCTTTTAGTTTTTCTCTAAAACATAAAATACTGAAAACAGAGAATAGCTCAAACTAAACGTCGTTAAGTTTCCTTGAAACAAACAAAATCCAAATGTACAAAATGCAACTTCTACCAGAAACTTTCTGGCTATAATGCAGCTTCCAATTTGTAGTCAGATTATTAATAAAAAAAGGAAGAGTCAAAACCTTGGTCACTTTTTGGATAATTCTTAATAATAATGGTATAGTAATTTAAATTTAATTGATAATATCAAAAATTTACTTGGTATTTCCAATGAATACAGAACTAAAATGTAAAGCATGAATATATTGTAGAACAGGTGTGAACAAGTTTTAAAAAAATCAAGAGACAGAAAAATAATTTGTAACTGACATGAAGTCACAACGTTCAGGGATGTTAGAAAGCCTTAACGTTCTCACTGCTATTTTACCTTGAACTGTATCAGTACAACCATTCAGCATGTAGGTGTTTGATATAGAATGTTGGTCTACCATGTGAAATTTGTACAGGTAAATAAATGAATAAAAATTTTTAAAATAAGTATTGTCTACACAGAAATTAGAAAAGCACTGAACAACCAACCATGGCTTGCAAGATGCTGACGGACACTCTTATTACAGAATTACCTTATATAACTCCCCATCATAAACTGCCACAACACTCCTCAGTACAGGCTTGTCAAGGATTTCCTGAAGATGGTCTGGAATCCCTAACCAGAAATGTTTCAGAAAATGCTGTACCTTTGAAAACAAAATAGAGATAGACAACACTGATATATACTTGTATTGCTATATACTATACTACAACCTCTACTGACACATATACTTGGAACTATGTGCTGTTGCAAGGTTTTATAACGTCACATGCATTTTGTTAGTGACACTTATTCATCCAGTTTTTTGTTTTTTTTTTAATTTCGCGCAAAGCTGCACGAGGGCTATCTGCGCTAGCCGTCCCTAATTTAGCAGTCTAAGACTAGAGGGAAGGCAGCTAGTCATCACCACCCACCGCCAACTCTTGGGCTACTCTTCTACCAACGAACAGTGGGATTGACCGTCGCATA